TAAACTTACTCTCAAATGAACCTGAATGAATAGGATCAGATTTTAAAAGCACATAGGAAAAAACACTAGTTGATACTAGTGGCAAAAGAAATTCAAATTATTCCTCTTTCTATAGAAATTTGTGTTGGTTGACAGATTTCATATCGTGTACGATTTAGAAATATGAACATTTGAACAAGTTCTGAAAAAATACAGACTAGCGTCCCTATCAAAACCATCCCTAGCATTCAAGATGCGGCCACTTAATCTAATTCGAATATGATGCAATTAAGGATATGGTTAGTGTTTTTTATACTTGGGACCTTTGCTGGCTGGGGAATTCTGAGAGTTGAAGTTCACAAATTTTAAAAGTTGCCAAGTTTGAACACTGAATTAGAGCTTTTCTAAATACATTTCAGGTAAAACTTCAAATTGTTGGTTTTAATTTTATTTATTTCAAAAATGTGTAAGGCACTTTCTAGGATAAATTTCTCCTGATGGGCTTAGGGGTCATACCCACTGAAAAATAATTTCTCCCCAGATAACAATTCAGGAAAATATACAGAAATTTAACTCACCTCTGCCCATATTTGCCAAGCTTCTTTAGCTTTCTTTATTGTTTCTTCATAATCTTCCAAATTTGCCTGAAATCAAGCAGTAAAAATACTGCAATGGACATAGTGATAACACAAGACTCAGCTTCTCATAAGTCAATGGAGAATTGGAAACTAAACAGATGTGTTCATAAAGTCATCTGTAATCAAGTTCAGTTTGAGGATTTTATTGTTATTAAAACACCGATTAGCCCTATTTCTACAGAAAACCTCCATCCAGTAAGGGGAGGGGAGAGAAAAGGTAACCTATATTTTCTACTTGGTTTGCTTTTAACTAGTCTGCATTTCTTACCCATCTCATGAAGTTTCTTAACATTCCAGCCTTGAAATCTGCTTATTTTTCCCCTAATGATGCATTTTGCGTCCCTTTCTGGATCGGGATTCCTTACGCACAGTCACTCAGGCACTCGTCACTTCCCGCCTGGACTACTGCAATGCTCTCTACATGGGGCTCCCCTTGAGGAGTACCCGGAGGCTCCAACTGGTGCAGAATGCAGCCACGCGGGGGATTATGGGAGCGAGGGGTCGCTCCCATGTGACACCTCTCCTGCGTGAGCTGCATTGGCTTCCAGTGGTCTTCCGGGTGCGCTTCAAGGTGTTGGTTACCACCTTCAAAGCGCTCCATGGCATAGGACCTGGGTATTTGTGGGACCGCCTTCTGCCGCTGATAGCCTCCCACCGACCAGTACGCTCCCACAGAGAGGGACTCCTCAGGGTGCCGTTGGCCAGGCAATGTCAGCTGGCGACCCCCAGGGGGAGGGCCTTCTCTGTGGCAGCTCCTGCCCTCTGGAACGATTTGCCCCCGGAGATAAGAAGGATATCGGATCTCCAGGTCTTTCGCCGTGCCCTGAAAACTCTTCTTTTCCAGCAAGCAGGGCTGGCGTGAACCCCGCCTCCTTTTTTAGTTTTTAATGGTTATTAATTGTTTAGTTTTAATCTGTTAATGGGTTTTAATTCGCATTGTTTTAATTCGGGCCAAAGTATATAATTCTTTTAATTAATTTTAAATTTTGTATTGTTATGTATTTTAGTTTTGGCTGTGCACCGCCCTGAGTCCACTAGGAGAAGGGCGGTATATAAATTGAATAAATAATAATAATAATAATAATTTTATTAAAGAGTCAAATATACAGTTAAAAAATCTTACCTGGCGAACTTTAGCTATGGGCTGATTATTTGCAGGACAGTATGTTGTCACAATCTAAAGGGGAAAAAAACATTTCAGTCCCATTTAGTAACCAACCCTATAATCATAAACCTCATGGTCAAAAGCTGGCACAATTTGTGGCATTGGCTGGACCCATATCAATAGAGTGACTTTTATGCCGAGTCACACTGTAGAAACTGATAAATCAGAATGAGTTCGGGCAAAAGGCAAAAGTCCAGGAATCAATCCATGCAAGTAGTTGAATGCTAAATTCGGAAGAAAAAAAGATAACAGCAAGACATGTGGGTGATTTTCAAAGACCTGAAATGCAGAATTGCCTCTGTACTTCCATGGGAAAGCTCAGATCCAAAAGAAAAAATTGCAAGGAAGATAAGTTTCAGCCACATATTAATTGAAAAAGCATCAGCTTTAGGACAAGGCTGAGATGACAGCTGGAGGCAGCAGGCTTTCCTTCTCTAGAAGCTTTTAAACAGAAGGATTCTGTAATACATCCCACCCTGCAGATCCTGCACTGAGCAGGTAACTAAGAAGAATGTGATTGCTTCCAAGTTTTCATCAGTTCTGTGATAGTCATCCTGGTCATCTTTGGAATTTACTAATCAGCCACATGCCACCTATTATTTTAGTCTCAGTTGCTTGGCTGCAAAATGACAGTGCTTGTGCCTTGGAAATACAATTGCTACATTTCACAACAGCTTTGGCTACATCGATTAGGGTTTCCAGGATATGAAGCCCCAATACCTGTAGGTACCGAAGTGTGGCACTGGTCCATCTGACCATCACCATAAAGTCAAGTTATGCAGAAATATTATAACGAGGGTAAGTCAGAAAAGTACACGGTCTGCAATGTTTTAGGTCTGATGGAAGTCACAAAAGAGGGAAGGAGCCAAAAGAAGCTGCAGGATTGAAAGACACTCATTCTCTTTCTGAGCCGAGATAAAAAGAATGAAGAAACCGGGACTCGTCTCTTTCTGCCAATTCCAATATGGGCTGCTGCAACCTGAATTCTGAGACGTGGATACGTTACTTAAAATGCAAAGGAAAAAAACCCACGACAAATTCAAAACCTCAGACGCGATGCACGTCTCAAAGAACTGGAGAAACAACTTCAAAAAGCGCCCGCAGGACATTCCTCCTTCGGTTTTTACGGCTGTCCGTCAAACTGGCTCCCACCCCGCCTTGCAAGCCTACCTCTCCTCTTCCTCCCCAGGAGCCATTGTAAACTCCCTCGTTTTCTTCTCGAAGCCCCAATTCTTTCAGCCACGCGTACTGGGCTTGGTTGATCAGCAAGGTCGACATGAAAGCGGCCGATCTATTGCAAGAAGCGGGGAAGGAGACGCTCTTCCTTAGCAGAGCACGCCTGGCGAGCACCGAAAGTCCAATTTGCAGCAGCATAGCGAGAAAAGGGCCGTGGCACCTTTAAATCACCCATAGGCCAAAGAGGCGTCCGTCAAGAGCCCACCCCCAAACGCAGAGCCCGGATTGGCGAAGGCAAAACGCTCAGTCCTCCGTTGCCTGACGGACCAATTAAGTCACGCCTCCATCTACCGTCGACTCGGCGCAGCCTCTCTGCACGTTGGGGCGCCCCTTAAAGGCCCTGCCTTGGAGGTCATCTAGTCCAACCCCCCTGCTCACGCAGGAGACCTATACAAGGGATTCGAACCGCCGACCTTTGTGATCGACAAGCTCAGTGTCTTAGCCACTGAGCCATCTAGGGAGCCGCCTTGGAGGAGTTCAAGGCAATTAGCAACAGTTACATCACGAGAAATAATAAAACACTTTATTTTCGGTTTGCAACAGAAATATCAAATCGTTTTTAATAGCTTGGCATGCGTTGGAAAGGAGTTTAGCGTGCAAAAATCAAAATGCCTCTAGTGGGTAGCAAAAGATATGCTGTTTGCTGATAGCCCGGCCCCAGCAGATCACTTGGCCAGGATAAACCCACAGTAACAGTAAAATGGCAATACTCGTCATTAATCCATACTTTTTTGTATTGTAGAGTATACTATGGAAGCAGGAACCAAAGGATGTACTGCTCTAAAACCTATTTCACTAGTTGGGAGTAGACTTCTAATGAAGCTACCAGACCCGATTTCTAAATATAACAGTTTATTCTCTTTTATTAAATAAACTCAGTACAAATATTCCCCTACACAATTTAAATTAGTTACTAGTCTTATCTTTCTTTGTTGTAACTATCAGCAAGCACTAACTAGAAAGGGATGTCTGATTTGCATTATCAATTAAATAGTATGCCTGCCTCTTGAGCCATTCTCTTGCTTAATTTCACTAACATGGTTAGACATGGTTTTATTCCTTGAAGGATCATTTACTTCCAAGATTAAACATGCAAGTTGAACTCTATGAGAATCAGGTAATGGCATCAACTTGAACAGATTTTGATTTTAGAGATTTTTCTGACAATATTTATTTATTTAGCATATGGCAAATACATGGACTTACAGTGGTTCAAATATTAATGTCCGGCCCACCCAGCCATTCAATGACAAGGTGGTCTTATGTCGAAAAAAATTAGACATTGGGCCAGTGTAAACTCTTGATGGACATTCAGACACAATGTTGCAAGATGCCATTTAATGTCCCAGTATTGTTTGAATTAACGAACCCCCAAAAGAAAAGTATCAGGATCAGAACCTAACATAATCTCACAGAAAAATCACAAGGCCTTTTTCATAGTGTGTGAATCTCACAAAGTCAATAAAGATTAGATGCGTCTTGAAAGACATATACAGAATTTGTGATGTTACAGTATGACAGAAAAGGAAAATGATTAAGTAAATCAGGAACATTTATTTAAATGATATTCAGCGACTGCTATATTTTATGCTGTTAGGGTAAACTCTTCTTTTTGACAAAACCTGAAAATGCCTGCTATTACCCCCAAATCAATGACTCTTGGTCTACCAGTACAACACCCATCACAATGCGTAGGCAGACATCTAAAAAAATGGACATGTCATGTCGTGAATACAGCTTTAATATACAATGGATGTTTTTCACCATCACTGTCCCTTCTTTCTGGTATCCTGAGAAAACAATCCCAGCATCCGGATTTTAAATTTTGCAGCATAAAATACAGGTCTGAAAAGACCAACGCGGGAAATCTCTCAATATAGAAAACGGATGGACATTCTCGAGCGGAAAGAAATTAAAAGACTACAATTCCCACGAAGTTTCGAGAAGGTGGGAGGAGGAAATGCTCAGTGTTCCGCCTTTTTTCCTCAGAGCAAGGCATTGTGGTCTCTGTAGTTTTTCTGGTCTTAAGGCCCACACTTGTGCCTTCGCGGCTCCTGGTCTAATTGAGAGAGGGAAGATGGCGTCGGAAGTTCCAGGAATGGAGCAGGAAATCGAAGATGGAGAGATTTCGGGTTCGGACTGCGAAATGCCGGTCTCGGCTCCTTCCAGGAGTCCCCAACAGGTCTGCAAACTCTTACCAGTTCTTCCTGTGGGCTGAAGACATAGGAGGATAGCCGGTGTTTTCCTCCACAGAGGAAAACCGGTGAGCTTTGCAATGCGTAGGACGGTGAGGTTAGCATATTGGGAGGAAGCTTGCAATCCGAGTCTTCCCGCTCTTATTTTGGCACCATCCCATTGGAATGAATGTCTAGGCTTTTTTTCTCCACTTGAACCGGGGTGAGATCCGGTTCCTACCCGCCAAGTAATAAGTTGTTGCTATTTCTTAGTGCATTGGCTTCTCTCATAGTCCTAAATTATCATTTTAGTAGAACCTAACACCGAGTCATAAGATTTCAGATGTAATTATTTGGATGATTCCCTGGATATATGGGCCAGTAATAGGACGGAGTGTTTTTTCTGGAGATTGCAACCAGCAGACCCAGAAAAAGAGGAAGACGTGGTTTTTCTTTTTATCTTTTTCTTTTTATCCAGAAGTGTTTTGTATTTAGGCACATGTAGTTTTCCCCCACGTTGCTGTTAATTGTAAAATTGTAGATAGGGGCTGTGGTTTGTCTCATTTAAATATTCCTATTAGGAAAATGGATTTATTTCTGCTGTGTGGGTTTTGAGCTCTTTCACTTTCGTTTCCTGAGTTTTTGGGAGGGGAATTCTTTAAACAGCACAATGACTCAGTCTGCATTAAGACATCCAAATATGCTTCTGAAGAGACAATAACTTTAAATTTGATCTTCGTGTTTAAAGGCATGCTAATTTTAGCCTATTAAATCTGGAAAAAAAATAATAGTAGTACATGATAGTTCAGACTTATTCGCTTAAAAAGTGTCCCCACAAATGTCTGGACCCATTATGTCAGATACAAGCTATACAGAATCAGCAAAATTTATTTTCTAACCTTGTAGACTTCATCATTAGTTTTCTAAAAATAAAAGACATTATTTAGATGGCCTATTTAGTGAGATTATATAAAGTTAGAGTGAAATATCACTCAAGCATAAGATTTTATATATAATAATCAAAATACTACTGGTTCAGAAATATACACAGGACATGATGTTTGCAATAGTTTTAGCACCCTGCAGCCTTAGAAGATGTTTAATTCATTATTTCAATTGCTTATATACAGCACTAGAATTGTTCAGATTAAGACAGCCTCTAACAATTGTTAAATAATAAACTAACTCTAAAAGAAATGTCCTACTGTAAGCTGTTTCACTGATGATATATAAGTTCAGTATTGATTACTCAGCTAATTCATCTTCTAAAAGCTCCTGGTCAGGTTGGCTCATTCTTCCATAGTTGGTGACAATGTAGTAAGCATTTCATCAGCAGTTTGATTAAATGCATTTCTAACAGAGTAAAGTAAATTCTAGAAGTTGAATTTCTTTTCCAGTATGCCATCTTTCTATTAAATATTGCTAACCTCATTGTTCCAAGTATACTAAATTAGCTTTGTACATGTCAGCAGCTGCTAGGATTTTCTGCTTTCCACTGGACAATTCCTTCAGTAGATGAATGAAAAATTAATTTGTGGGAGTATGTCTTAAAACAGGTGTCAAACTCGATTCCATTGAGGGCTGCATCAGGGTTGTGTTTGACCTTGGGGGGCCAGGGTGGGTGTGGCCAGCTGGATGTCACTCGTGTCGGGGACACCTGTGGTTGCTCGAGTGCTCTGCCAGTGAAAACAGGCTTCCAAGCTCTGTTTTTGGCTGTGACGGCCTCCTGTGACCCTCTGCCAGCAAAAACAGAGCTCAGGGACGGCGCATATAGCCCTCCTGAGCTCTGTTTTTGCGGGTAGAGGCCGTCACTGTTTCCAGGGTGGCCCCATGGGCCAGATCTAAGCACCCCGCAGGCCTGATCTGGGCCCCAGGCCTTGAGTTTGACACTCCTGACTTAAAATGACTAAAATAACCCGTAGTTGATAAATAAAACTGACATAATTTAACACAGAAATCAATTTCTGAACTGTAGTTCTGTTTATGGGCTTATATCATATCCAAAATGTGAGTTTCTCTGAACATAAAATTTTAACATTTAAATAGAAAGTAGTTTGTTAAATAAGAATATATTTCTTGCTAACTAAAAACTATTTTTTTTCATATTCTGCTGATTAGTATGATTAATATACATACTCCATCTTGATCCACCCCTCTGAAGTTCCATTTTGGCCTGCAATGTGCCAGGGGAGGCCTGCAGAGGCTTAAACAGAGCACCAGAGGGCGGATCTGCACCTCTGAACCTCTGTTTTGGCTGGCAAAATGCTGGGTGAGGCCTGTGCAGGCCTAAACGGAGCACCAATTTCGCTGGCAAAGTGCCGGACGAGGCTGCAAACACCAAAATGGGGCTGCAGAGGGGCACATGCAGCCGATAGGCTGGAGAGGTGACTGCTTGCAAGATCTTTGCAGAGTAAGTGACTCAGCGTGGCAGGGTGGGTGGATGGGGAAAGCAATTGTGGGAGCATGAAGTATTTCAGTAGGTTGGGGAGGTCTTAGGTAGGTGGCCTTTTCCATCACTAGGCCTCCATGGCCTTCCTCATCCTGAAATACCTCATGTGCACTTAACAATTCAATTAGTGAATGTGTGGGTTAAAGGAGGATGTGATCCCCTTTCAAGGTACAAGATTCACTGTCACGAATCCTCAGGTTATGAATGGAATGGAGCCTGCCCATTCCATTCGTAACTCAATGACTACCTGTACTTTGTGCTTTTTTGTTGTTGTTTCTGCTTTTTTCCCTTTTAAAATGTTCAGACTCTTTTTTTTTTTTAAGAAGAAAGAATAACTTTAGTGCATGGGTGTCAAACTCGGCACATCATGTTGCCGTCACGTGATGTTTCACGACTTTTTTCCCATTCGCGGAGTTGGGATGGGCGTGACCTGCGCATGATACATCCGGCTCTCAGTATGACACCCGTGTTCTAGAGTGAAATAGAAGAGTACCTGTATTTCCTCTGGTTGGAATGTAAACCTGTCCAATTTTCTAAAGGTGAATTGCCTTCAGAAGAGGAGTAACAATGTTTCTATGGTACCAGCAGCATCTGCAGACAGGGAAGATGAAAAGGGATGACAGAAGCAGCATCACAAGCCCATTTCTTTCATTTCTATATTTTATGTTGGTGTATGTACAAAAGGGGTGGGACTTACATTGTGATGCCAATATCATTTCTGTCACCTTGCCTTTTTGACCTTCTCTGCAGATGCCATTGCCATGTATCAAGATGTAGTTTCAGAGTTCTGTGAAATTCTTAAGCAACTTCCCCATTGAAGGGGGCATACAAAGATCTAAAGCTTTCCTGCATAGGCCCTGGTTCACTGGGCTTATTACTACATGGTTTCATGAAAGTCTGCATCCAAATACAGGTAGTCCTTGACTTACAGCCACTTTTTTAATGGCCGTTCAGAGTTACAATGGCATTGGAAAAAAGTGACTTATGCCCAGTTCTCATACTTATGACTTTTGCAGTATCCCCAATCACATGATCAAACTTTGGGTGCTTGCCAACCAGCATATATTTACAATGGTTGCAGCATCCTGGTGTCCTGGGATTGTCATTTTCCTAAAGCTGCTGGCAAGCAAAATCAATGGGGGAAACCAGATTCACTTAATGACCACATGATTCACTTAACAACTGTAGTGATTCACTTAACAACCATGGCAAAAAGAACAAAAATGGGTTATGACTCACTTAACTGCCTTGCTTAGCAACGGAAATTATGGTTTCTGTTGTAAGGTGGATCTACAACTCCCATGATTCTCAGAAAGCTGTGTATGACCATTCAGATTGTCTGTCCAATTAAACTTTTCAAGCAGAAGATACGAGGTTGCATCATGGAATTTCAATTTTCAGTAGCAGATGATATAATTTAAATTTTTGTATGATGGCAAAGAAACTTGTATCCAATACATCAGAAAAACACTGAAATCTTCTGTGAATTTCAGTAATCTTTATTTTCTCCTCTCATGAAATGTCCTCAAGATAAAACTAACCTAAGTAGAATGTGGTTGAGTTAAGAACTATTAAAGAACTAGCTAAGAACTATTAATAGCAATGTAAATATTGGCCATAATAACTGTTGTAAATAGAAAGTCAGGTCAGTATGCCCTGTATGTCAGTATAGTTTATATCCATATGAAGAGTACATGGATGACTGCTGTGACAAGTATGAATTACCATTAGCAGATCAAAAAGATTTTGAAGAAGATTTAGTGATCTTTTTTCCTGGTCCTGTTAGGAGAAAAACATGCCCCAAACACAGCCAAAATAGTTGGCTGACTCATACATGTTTGTATTGCTTTGTTTTACATCAGATTTTTACAGTGTAATCTAATATCTATTCAGAGGTATCTCGTATTTTGTTTAATGGAGTTTTCTTATAAGTAGGAACATGTTCGTTGGATTGGTATGAATCTCCTTATGTTTGTGCTAGGAGTTACTTTTTAATGCAGTAATAGAAAAAGATTAATTGGTGTGGTAAAAAGTAGGCATCAGCATCTTCTACAAAATGTGAGTGAATTGTTGACATCTTCAGTTGCAATCAGATTCAAGAATTGTTAAAATATGCTTAGAAAACCTTACACTATCAAATATTCTTTAATTGCAAAGCACTAAAATGTTGAACATGGCCAAGATGTTCTGAAGACAGTCTTCTATTGCTGCAGTGTAACAAGGAAAAGGCTAGTATAAAATTAGCTGTATAGACTAGTATTCTCTTCCCAATTTGCTGCTCTCCAAATGTATTGGGCAATAATGTAGACAATCTATAATCATCAGCCATCAAGGTATTAAAAGCATGATAGAACCATGGTTAGGAGACATTGGCCTAAATTCTTATTGCATTATATGGTGAAAATATAATATCTTTATGTGAAATATTGCTGGTTACATATGTATGTGGCTGTTTTGATAACTTGCATAAGACAGTACTGAATACCAGTGAATAAAAATAAATGAATTTTACAGTAAAAAATGGTATATTTAATATTACAAACAATTGTTGAGACAATTGCACTATACTTTTTAATTAGCAATAGCTATAGCCCTTAGACTTATATTCTGCCCTGTTGTACTTTACAGCACTCTCTGAGTGGTTTACAATGTCAGCATATTGCCCCCAATAATCTGGGTCCTCATTTTACGGACCTTGGAGGGATGGAAGGCTGAGTCAATTTTAAGTCCATTAGGCTCAAACTCCTGGCAGTGGACAGAATTAGCCTGCAATACTGTGTTCTAATCACTGTGCCACCAAGGCTCTTAATTATTATTTGTAAAGAAATCTGAAATCAAATTCAGTAAGCAGCTCAATTTTTTTTACAATTTTTAAAACAAAATCTTAACTATCTAGCAAACACTATTTAGAGTTTGTGTTTTATAGAACAGCAAGTTCTTCAGGAAAGAGGGGAACAGATTGCATTGCATTGCATTACATTGCATTAGAGAGAGAGAGAGAGAGAGAGAGAGAGAGTGTGTGTGAGTATATGTGATCTGAGTGTACTATCAATAGATGATTGTTGTGATTTGTGTGCGTTGTTAACAGATTTCATATTAAATCCAGCTAAAGGTACTTAGATATCCTTTTCCTCTCAATTTTCATCAATTGATTTCATCAACTGTCTGGGTTATATATTCTTTCATTTCATCAAGCAACAAGTGCACTTGCTGCATTAAGCAGCAGGTTGACATAATGAATAACATTTAATTTTTTATTAAATTAAATTATTTTTTAAAAAAATATTGTAATAATATCGATTATTTTTATACACATGATACCAGTACAGGTACAAAGTACTCTGTTAAATTTTCTGTTGAACCTGAAGTTCTGTTCACCCTGCCCAAATTTCCCCTTAATTGTTTTTGTGTGTTGGGGCTCTCTGAATATTCTCCCCCAATATAAGCTATGGATTTCTAATTAATCCCTATTAAAATTTCAGCAGTTTTTCTCTAAGATGCTATCTAGGGTACATGAAAAAAAGATTAAAATATTATATTAAAAAGTGATATTTTAATATAAATATGTACCATACATTTATATTTCAGAATGATAACGGTAATCCAGCAATATCTTTTCCAAGCAGCAGTTCGCAATTAGCAACAAGCGTTCCTTATCGGACAGTGAAAAATATGGATTCAACCGATGAAAGTTTTTCAGATTCTGATGAAGAGAGTGGCCTATGGAAGCGAAAGCGACAAAAATGTTCAAACCTTCCTCCCCCCAAACCAGAGCTTTTCCAGTTTTGTCCAAACTCTCACAAACAGATCCCTAAAAAAGTCAACAATATATGGGGTGAAGTTTTGCAAAAACAGAATCAAGATGATATGGCAAAAAACCTTGGGATTCTATGGATGGATGGCAACCTGGACAAAAGTCGAGGATCAGAGACCTACAACTACATGTTAGCAAAACAGTTGATGAAACAATCTGAATCAGAAGTAGAGAAGACATTAGACAAAGAGTTGGATGAATATATGCAAGATGATAAAAAGACTGTATCAAAAGAGGAGGAGGAAGAGGTGAATAGACAAGATATCTGGAAACGGAAAAGGCCCATAAAGGAGAGAGTGGGTCAAAGACAAGAAATGAATTATAAAGGGAGGTATGAAATTACAGAAGATGATCCTGAAGAAAAAGTGGCAGATGAAATTGCCTATCGGTAAGATTTTGATGTTTTATTTGAGAGACTTTCAACAAAAGCCATATTTTAAGATAATAGCAAAAGATAAACATATTCTGGTTTTGAATAATTTTTTTATTAAAGTATTTTTGGTCTTAAAGAAAGGTTGTTGTTTAGATAAACAACTTTAAAGTCCCTTCAAGTATTTTGTTACTCAGAGTGCTAAATAGGTTAACCTTCCAGAACTTTCTTTCTCATAGACAACATACATTTATACACCTATTCATGTCACTGTAATTATGGCTGCAAACAGAAAACTGTTTGACATCAGATATACCAAAATATTACTAAAATTTGTAATAATGAATTTGTTTTTGAAAGTATTGTCACTCAAATTACTTGGCAAATACAACATTTTCACCTTTCTTTCAGGCTTCATGAACCAAAGAAAGATCTAATTGTACGGGTAGTGAAAATCATTGGGAAAAAGAAATCTATTGAACTGCTGATGGAAACAGCTGAGGTGGAGCAAAATGGAGGTCTTTTAATAATGGTAAGAAATAATTTGTCATGTGGTTTGTTAGGATTACAATTTAACTAATACTAAATGAGATCAAATGGTATTCTCATCAGAAGAAACGGCAGTCAGGCTGATTGCGAACATGCACGCGCTCACTTCTCTCGTGCGCGCCTCATTGGGGCTGATAAGCAGCTTCAAAAGCAGAGCTGATCATTGAAGGGAGCTCCAGTGAGTAAAGCAGGCAAAGCATGGAAGTGGTAGACAAGGCAGCAGCTGTTCCGGGTTGCCATTTTGGGCTCCGTGGCTTGTGTTTTCAGTCTCCAAATGCTCCGTTTGAGAGGCATTCAAGGCTGCAGGGATTGCCAATAATTTCGGGCAGCAATCAGCAGCGATGTGCTTTGGCGATCCCCGCAGCCTTGAACGGCTCAAACGGAGCATTTGGATGCTGAAAACGAGAGGGTCGGAGCCCAAAAACACAAGCCATTGTCTGTGGCAATCTGCAGCCAGGAAGAGGATGTGCGGAGGCCGAAGGGTGAGGGTCGGTGGGTGGGTGGGGCTACATTCGGAGTATAAGATGCACCCAAATGTTCAGCCTCTTTTAGGGGGAAAGTGCATTTTATACTCTGAAAAATATGGTATTCATTAGCCAATAAACCTTAGTGCTAATGATGGTTAATGAATTAACATATTATTTAGTTATAATTCTCACTGGAAAAATGACTTTGGATTTGTAATAAATGGCTGGCTGAGGAATTCTGGAAGTTGAAGTCCACAAGTCTTAAAGTTGTCAAGGTTGGACACCCCTGACTTAATGTTTTACAATATTTGACCATAATTTGACAGATTGGTTGATAAAATACTTTAGGTCTTCAAATACATATTCCTAGAAAAATGATTACAGGCGTTGTAATATTCAGCTGTATTACGTAGTTGAACTCCTTTCATGATGATTAGAAGAGTACAAATAAAGGAAAATATTTGTAGCTCAGGGTTGAAATGAGGGGTCCTTGGTGCTCTCTGAGCATGCTTGTTTTCTTGCAGATGTTTCATTGCAAATGTTTTCTTTCAGATATGATCACTGATGATGTTACCTAGTTTGGGTAATGAAATGTGTGCAAGAAAATAAGTAAGTTCAGAGAGCACTAAGCTTAAAAGAGTTGAAGGCATTTTTATTATCCAAATGAGAGCATTGTTCTCATTTTCAGCCCAAATTCTCTCTCCTCTCCAAAGTCTTTCCAGCTGTTTTGAAATAAGGATTAGTCTACAGCAAGGATGTCAAACTCATGTCGTCACGGCAGCATCACGTGATGTATGATGACTTTTTGCCCCTTCACTAAACTGCGTGTGGGCATGGCCAGCGCATGACGCATCCGGCCCACGGGCCATTACTTTGACAACCCTGGTCTACAGCATCAATTTCTCATGTGAACAGGAATCTATTGAATTTTCTTCCCCGTGGGATCCAAATGTCTTCAGGGTTGAAAAATATAAACAAATTTCTGCTATATTAGAATCTAGACCTTGCCAGGAGTTAAAGTAACACTTCAGTTGAGCCTCTTTATAATGGTGGATAATCAATGCCTTTTCCATAATAATGCCATTTTGAAGTTAACACACATGCTTAATTATAAAATCAGGAAATTTCTAAAATCAGGAAACTGAAACCACCTTCATCATATAAAAGTAATAGGTTTGAAAGAGAAATCCTAGGTGTTCATTCCTTCCATAAAAATGTAACTATTAACTCGTCAATGTGTGGAATATTTCAGTGAAACCAATACTTTATATTTTTCTGAAAATAGTTATCAGTCTTGAAGCAATATTCATTTTCATCATAATTATTCTACCTCATAGATTTAGGAGTATTTTCAACTGTCTCTTTAATCTGGATAATAATACTTATATCCACAAAGCAGTATAACCTTTTTCCAGAATTAAAATTCCTTGGTATTTGATGGATTGTGTAAAATAAACTAAATTTTACCTACATCTTTAGTACTTTATTACCCTATCATGTAACATTAAACATTTCAGGTTACTGTATCCCCAGTATATTTCCAATATAATTGTACAATTTCAATACATTTTAGAAAATACCTCTAATAATTATTTATAAAGCTAAAATACCTGCACATAGTAAACATTTGTATTCCAATTCAGGAATCCACACGTTTCCTGGATATTACTACTTTGATTTATTATACACATTAGGAGTTCCAGCAACAAATTAAATGTGGAAAAGAAAGGTCATTTTTGACACTTTCTACATGAATTTTGATTCTGGGAAAAATAAAAAAATTGTATTTACATGAGGAGAAGAATTGGAAAGATGAATCTTTATTCGGAAAATATATGAATTAGAGGAAGGAGAATTATTGTTTGTATATTTTCACTTTTGGGTTGGGGTTTCAGCCAGACCTCATGAAGGGATGTATGGATAATTTTTCACTCAAAATATTAGTCCCAGCTATAATGGATTCTATAGAAATCAGAGTTGAGAGGGAGGCTGACGGAAGTTTACACAGTGGAAAAGAAGCCAAAGCAGAAAGACTCTCTAAGGTTTCCAAACTTAACTTCTAATCTCTCCAAAACCTGAGCCTGAGTGGCGTAGGAGGCTAATGCCTCCTAAGGCAGCATTTAACATCCAGCTGCCTGCAATTACTGCGAGTTCAATCCTCACCAGGCTCAAGGTCGACTCAGCCTTGCATCCTTTCTAAGGTGGGTAAATTGAGGACCCAGTTTGTGGGGGCAATAAGCTGACTTTGTATAAATATACAAAAGTATGAAGGCTATTGCTTAATGCATTGTAAGCCGCCCTGATCTCCAGAGAAGGGCGGCATCTAAATCAAATTTTTTAAAAAAACAAAAAACAATAGGAATAACAAAGAACAATATAATTTGGGTTTTGGGGGGGTTTTTTTGCTTACCAGCGCTTTAAAAAAAATACAAGTACTGTTTCCATAAATTTTGGAAAGCTAGAGAAATAAATAGCATTGTAACACATCGCTATCTTGCCAGAAACTCTCAGGAGAAACAAAACGGGGAGAAACCATAATCTCAATTTGCTACTTTATTTTTTGAAACATTTGATTCTTCAAACCCTATTTTTTTCAGTTTATACAGTAAGTCTTTCAATAATTATATAAAGCCCTGTTAATATTTTTTACAAGTAACTAATATTTGCATTTTCTATTCTTATTGTACCTCAGATATATATTCAGATTCCAAGCAACAAAACATTTGATATGTTTTACACTTGCTGCTTTTAAAAGGTTTATTTTTAAATCATTCCAGGATGGTTCTAGAAGAAGAACTCCAGGTGGAGTTTATATAAACTTGTTGAAAAACACACCTTGCATAACCAGTGAACAAATCAAGGTAAATATTAATTTCTACATTCCAATTTGCAGCATAGTTTTATACAGCTTAAAAAAACTTATTAAAACTTATTATTCTGGCTTTATTTTCTCACATACCTTTATGCATTTCATGAAATACAGGTAGTCTTCAATTTAGGGCCACAATTCAGCCCAAAATCTCTGTTGTAAAGCAAGACAGTTGTTAAGTGAGTTTTGTCCCATTTTATGACCATTCTTGCCACAGTTGTTAAGTGAATCACTGCAGTTAAGTTAGTAACAAGGTTGTTAAGTGAATCTGGCTTCCCCATTGACTTTGCTTGTCAGAAGGTCACAAAAGGGGATCACATGACCCCATAAAACTGGCAGCCATTATACATGCCAGTTTCCCAGAATCCAAATTTTGGTCATGTGACCATGGGAATGTTGCAACAGTTGTAAGTGTGAAATATGGCCATAAGTCGCTTTTTCAGTGCCATTGTCACTTCAGACGATCAGTAAACGAATGGTTGTAAATCGAGGACTTCCTGACAGCTGTTTTCTATACTGCTAACCTAAGCTTTCATTCTTAATTTTCTTAGTGTTGCAAAGGTTACTCTTAAGAAATTTCATGTTCAACTCTTTCTCGTATATCTGCAAGTCTGCAAAAATAAAAAATAAGAAAGAAGGTTGTACATTCAAAATCAGCCATTCCCTAATAATTAAATTCTTCATTTTATTATATTATATTATATTACATTACATTACATTACATTACATTACATTACATTACATTACTATATTATATTATATTATATTATATTATATTATATTATATTATATTATATTATATTATATTATAGGCAACTGCCTATAATAAAGTTACTCTTCTCAATAATATAATGATGGAATAATCCAAGCCATCAAAATAGTAACAATAATTCTCCTATTGAAGTCATGAGGCCTCCATTGTAGTAAGTCAGCTAAATAACACCCCACTGTTATGTTCTATATTTGGATCCTGTCCAACTCTTACTTGAAACATGTATGGAGCTGATGGTAGTAACTCTGCCTAGTGCTTTTCTTTATTTCAAACTGTAGGATGACTATTCTTTTTATATGGAGTCTCAGTATGCAGTTTTGCTCTCTGTAGGGTTTCTTTGTAGAGTACATTTTCAATGTGTACTGAGGAAAAACATGTAATCTTTACAATGCATGAAGTTCCAAAAGTGGATGGAAGAGAATGCTGAGTTGATGGGCCAGTCCACTTTATTGCTTAGCTTCTCTTTCTTCTGAGTTAAAGACAAAGGGGAGGACCCTCCTGTAGTGTCTCTGCAGGGATGTATTTGGGAAATATTACATGGGCCTACCAACAACCTGGACAGCCTTCTACCTTCCCAAAGCTAATTCTCCAAAAGACCAAGGGTTTTTGTGTCTCTCACTTCTCTATTTGACGATATTTCAAAGTCAAATTCTCCGTGTAGTATATTTCATATCTACAATAAACTGGCTCATTTTCCTGATTTTTTTTTGCCCCCTTCCTTTCAATAGATCCAAAGTATGTCTCTCAATTTTTAGAAACTCTCTTTCTCAATATTATAAACGGAGAGGCATTTATTTTATTATAAGTTTTTTATTTTATAACAAGGCTTTCTTTTAACTCTACGGAGAAGAATACATTTTCAAATACCATAATTCTGAAGCAATATTTTGTGTGTTGGGGGGGGAGATGGCTTTTTTTAAAAAAACTTGAGGGTTCTTTGTTAAGTAGCCCTGATTAGCTCTAAAAGTTGGTTAGGGCAGTTGGTGTTTTGTGAAAGCTGCTTTTGTCTATTATTCCTTCTCACTTCATGGGGTATTAACATTCTCTTTAAAGGAAATCTTCTATATTGAAAATCAAAAGGAGTATGAGAACAAATGTGCTGCAAAGAAGAGGAGATTTCAAGTACTGGGCAAAAAGATGAAGCAAGCTATTAAAGGACTTAATCTTCAGGAATACGACGATGCTTCCCGAGAGACTTTTGCAAGTGACACAAATGAAGCCCTGGCTTCTCTGGATGACTTGCAAGAAGGACATGGGGAAATAAAACTTGATGTAGAACATGTTTTTGAAGCAGATGAAGGTGATAGTATCTTTTGTGTACTAGACACTTGAGGAATCAAAGTCTGTGTGATGTATATATTAATGGTCAATTTTATATTATATCTTTTCATTAGTTGCAATAGTGCCTATTAATGTGAATCAGTCACATGCTGGAAAGGACCATTTTATTTCTTTCAGTTGATGCTTACGTTTTCAGTTTGCTTCAGATCATGAATGCTCTACATCTTCATTTAGTTCATAATTTCAACAGACACTTAACACCTAATGCACATTCTTTCATCTCACGGTTAGTTTTAACATTAGGGGGAAAAACCATGTATGCTCTCATTCCAAAAATAAAGCCTGTGTATGGAACTTAATATAACTGCATGGAAACACTATTTCATTTCACTAATAGTAATATAAACAAATATCATTCTGACACATACTCTGGTATGGAAGCCTTTTATCTGATCGTTATTTTCATGATGAATTTCGGAACAGGTTTTGCCTATGAGCCAGATTGGTATTCAGTCTGCTTGCAAGATTTTATAGATGGAACAGTAAGGAATATAATGCAGCCATTTCAAATGTTTTTTATTTGGATGCCTTTCACAGTTGAAAAGATTACTTCTAAAGAAGACATGGTTTGTCTCCTGTTTGTCTCCTGTTTTAATGATAGAACCTGAGGTTTTGTTCTATAATACAAAGTGATAAATACTACACATTGCATGCAGAGAACTTCAATTTCAGCTTACATTAACCATTTTCTGAGAAAACAATATAAACTTAAAATAATAAAAACAAACTTTTCTCTTTTACAGTTCTTTCAGTTTTCAGTTTCTTATACCTGAGTTTTGAGCTAACAATCCTGCATCAAATTAGTTGTATTAAAAGTAGACCACTTAAATCAGTAAATCTTAAATTAGTTGTGGCTTAGACTTAATTGATATCAGAAGAATACCTCAGTCTGAATTTAGCCAGCATAAATGGGTACAGAACTTGTCTCAGTTTCACATTTTGTTTTGAAATGAATAATTCTGAAGATAGGAGTTGGCTATAAGATTTAATGTCCATTGTTATCCCTATTAATTTCAATCATCTTAAAAGAACAAAAAAGTTAAGAAATCAAGCAATACATTTGTATGACTCATAGCAGTAGACTTATGTATGATAAGTCTAAGGTTTCACAAGATTAGAGTGGAAATTGCAAATCTGGTTTAATTTTCATTTATAATATATAAAATAAATAAAATTATTCGCTTTAAGATATTTATTCAATTTGCTTTTTGGGGGGATTTTTTGGATGGATTTTTTTAGAATTTAAAAAAAAATGAAAGAGGTGTAAAATGAACTCTAGATTAGGTTGTTCTGTCAATATATCAAACTTCACTGGTAGTTAAATCCTTGAAGAGCAACAGCTTCTTTCAGTTATATACATTTGTGTGTTAAATTTTTAGTTCAAACTTACACAATGAATTTCAGTAATTTTATTGTGAAAACAGGAGATGTTGCTGAGCAAAAACGTTTTTGTATATTAAAAGGACTTGCCTGTTGAACTGCCTGTAGCAAAGTTATATTTTCCTCCTCAGTCTTCCTTTATTAACACAAAGAAGCCATACTGCCTTGGAATGATTTAATCAATTTTTAGTTATTGCTATGATGTTTAAAAGATTTTTTAAAAAAATATTGGTAAAGTAGATGAGAGGTAGAGCTGTTCCTGTTAGATTGGTATTGTCGCTCATGCATTTTTCCCTTCATGTATATATTTGTTCCTGATTTATGAATCCTTTAAGGAAGAAATAAGTTATAAATTATATATTTTATCAACCACTAGAGAAAGTACAGATAGTCCTTGACTTACAATATTACATTGGTTTAGTGTTCGAAGTTACAATGGCACTGACTTATGAAAAAACTGACATGACTATTTTTCACATGATCATTGCAGCATCCCCATATGATCAACATTCGGACGCTTGGCAACAGGAATGTATTTATGATACTTCCAGTGTCCTGGGTTATGACATCACCTTTTGTGACCTAACAAGCAAAGTCAATGGGGAAGTCAGATTCACTTAACTGTGCTGCTACCAACTTCACAGTGGAGTGATTCACTTAACAATTATGGCAAGCAAGATTGTAAAATGGGACAACTCACTTAACAGTCTCGCTTAGCAATGGACATTTTGGACCGAATTGTGATCATAAGTTGAGGACTGCCTGTACAAGCAGATTTGCCCTCCCAAAACTCCTAGCCTCTGATGGCCTTAGATACAGAATCACTATCATCAACACTCATGTCACATAGTCAATTCCTATAATGAGTAAAATATTACATGTTACACCCCAACTTTCCTAAAACGTTGCAGTAAGTTTAGGTTGCACTCATAAGAATGGGAGTGGCAGAAAGAGGGCAGTAAGACACCATGGTAGAAACCCATTAAGTCCTTTTCCAACAGTGAAGCTTATTAATTGAATACAAGTTACCAATAGACCTAAATTAAATTGGAAGGACAATTATGTACGATAATTTAATCATATATAAAGGTTCTGTTGAATTAGATCTTCTCTCAAGGCTAAGAACAACTACTCACTGCCTTGACCTGTTTCCTCTGATAATCTAGGTTTTCAAAGATGCAGTGAGCATAATCCCATCCCCACATTCTTCTCTCAGACAAGCTTAATGTTCTTTGCATTTTCCACCTCCATCAAAATATATGAGCATCTGCTTCCCCATCAGCACCTAAGGGAAACAGTCAAAGCTTCGTTTGGATTTTGTTACATTTTAGCCATGTGTTCATTGAAAGGGCATTTCTCATTATGTCATCAACCTGACAATGGCTGATGCATCATAATCCTTGTCTTGATGCAGATGCCAGTTTGGTAAGTTACCTACAACAGAGTGCAGCATTTCCTGTAGCATGAGCAGCAGCCCCAAAGATGAACCCCCTGAGGGGCCTAAAACCAATAGGATTTCCAAAGGGGTCAATACAGACCTCAGAGGGTAAGAGAGGGACTTCAATCTGGACAGATATTTGGGAGGACGGAGAAAAACTGTACCTTTTCCAGCAGCTATCTGACAGAGGCAGATGAATTTTAACGTCCAATTTTTCTCAAGTGGGTTATTGTGCTTGCTTTTCAATTACAGTTTATTGTGCAAATAACAAACAAGCACAGAAGGTATTTTAGAAATGGAAGAAATTAAAGTTAATGATTAAGAATGCACTGAGCCTGCCAAAAATCCCCAATTCTTTGTTCAGTAATCCTCTTGAAAGATGTAAATAGGAAAATGCTTCAGAAATACTAAAAACAAGAAATATTTTTGTGGTTATATTTTAAAGTGTCTTTTTTATAACAATGTGAGAAGTTCATGTTCTAATAAGATGATTTAACAAATATACAGATATCAATTTAAATCAGTCCAGTGACCAGCATCCTGTCCAATAATAATCATTATACAGTAATACATTTCTTCAGGGACTTTGGTACACATCGAGATAAAGCTACATTGACTTGCAAAAAATACATATTCATACTTGCATGCAACCTATTTTTTCATTCTTCAATGGATGCTCAGCTGAACATCATAATGTTTTATCTGAGCTCATGAATTGGCTATGCTTGTTTGTGCATGCATATCACCGATTGAATGCAGTACATAGGCCTTTAGGGTATACTATATTAACATGAAGTTACAGCAGCATGGAATTTAAAGGCGCTGATTGGTTCTCCATTGAAAAGTAATCTTGTGCCAATTGCTTTTTTTCCCCTTTTATTTTCTTATTTGACTGCATTTTGTTTTATTTCCTGTTAGTCCCATTTTTGCAAAATAAACGTTCTAGAATCAAAAGCAACTTATAAATTAGGAAAGGAGAGGCATTTGTTTCCACTACTTGTATTCCATTTCCCAAAGCACTTTAGAAAATGCAATGTTTTGCATTTTTTATGAAATAGTTTACGGTGCCTTTATCTTGAGGTATGTCTTTATTATAGAAGCTTGTTAAGCATTAGGTCTTCCACTTGGGTTTCCTTAATGTAAAGAATCATTCTTTTTCTATAACATTAAGAAATGGTAGGTAAAGGAAAAACTGATTTGACATTTTATCAAAATTTCAAAGATCTTCCTAGCATATTCTCGCTAGTGCAGGGTCCACTTTTTGGATCACTGAACACCACTTTGCACAGTCAGCTTCATCTCCAGGGCGCAGGCCCACAGCTTGCATATCTTTGTTGATATCTTGGCATTTCTGTTTTGGACACCCACAAGGTCACTAGCCATTGACTACTAGTTGGTAGGCAATCTTGGCAACGGTGGAAGGTGCTGCTCTCAGGACATGTCCATACCAGCGGAACTGACCTTCTCTTATCTTGTATAATTGGTGGCTCACCAAAATGTTGTCAAAGTGTCATTTGTGATGTGGTAAAAAAGGGAGATGCCCGATATCCAACGGGGCATTCGCATTTCCCTGGCATGGAGATAGCTTCCAGTCCCTGTTGTGGCTGTCCAGCATTCAGTGTCATACAGTGTTAACAGGACGGATGGTTGTCTTGTAAATCAGTATTTCAAAGATGCAGATATGAATTTACAAACACGTTGATGTTTGCTTATGTTTTGGTTTGAAAAAGATGGATTTTCCTAAGAAATGAATCTGGCTTGAATGATCAATAATGCAAAGAAATATATTAGAGCTGTGTGGTATACTTAGCAAAAGGAGAAGTGATAGATAAGAACATTACATTATGTTTCATAGGCTAATATCCAATCCAGATAAATATGTTAAATTATCATTTTTTTCCCTATATTTTCTTCATTTTACTTAAGCAAATTTGAAGAGGTAATTTGAAATAAGGGCAAAAATAATTGAAGCATGTTGCATAACAAATGAATAGACAAGCTTGACGATTCTGCTTGACTGGAACTATTACATATCTGCCAAGTTTTAGGAGTTAGAAGGAGAGCATGGACTATCCACAATAGCAGAGAGCAAGACACATGGAGGTTGACATAGTTGATCCCCAGCTGACCTTCATGCTCTTTGTATCTTTATGTTTTCTGCAGTCCACTAGACCTAAATTATTATCATTTATCATATGGCACATTCACATCATATTTTGGTAAAAAGGAACACGGTTAAAATACAAAACACAGAATATAAAATATAAAATCTTAACAGGAAGTTTACAAAAGTATATAAAGTAAACAAATGTAATTTTTTACTTCAGTGGTCACAGCCAGAAAATCAGTGAAATCTCTGTTATAGGTTCTGTTGTGAAACTCTGTCACTATCTGTTCAATAGTTTGTTTTTGGGACCCCAGTCACAATTTGGTGATTGGTATTTTGCCCCACTTATAGAGGGTATCTGTGCATCTACCATGACCAAGGCGTTCAACGTTATCTATGTCACACAGGGCTGTGGTTTTTCCAAGATGCAGAGAAAGCTTCGACATTGTGGGGGGCACATATCTATCCAACGTTGCTTCTACATGTTGTGAGTGTTGAAATCCTTTTTCTAAAGTGCTTTAGCAGGAGAGATAGCTAGGTGTCTAGATCTCAATCTATTTTGCTCCAGGTAGGCTACTGTTGCTCAGTATAATTATCAATAATCTTCAGGTGTTCTTGAAGGAGGGCCTTTTTTCTTCTAACTTGCAGAGGTGGTACATGACTCAGAGTAGGCAACCAATATATGACAGTAAACCAAATCATCCCACTAATGATGCACATTGACTTGTATAATTGTGCATCAATCCAGTTGTGTATGGCAATGGTCCCCAACCTTTTTGGCACCAGGGACCAGTTTCATGAAAGATCATTTTTTCACAGAATGGAAGGGGACAGTTTTGGTTTTTCTTGGAATTTCCACAATGCCTTGCAGAGCTTTAAAGTATTGTATGAATATTATTTGAACAGAAATGGAAACTTGCTTTTTGACCTAAGTGAAGGGGCTCCAGATGCTGGGGACCAATGCTTGGCTTGGATACAATAGAGACGGTATAAGCCTAAAGTGAGCTTCCAGTGAGGGCATCCTGGAGGGAGATGGGACCTGAAAAGAAACATGATGGTAGGTGTGGCATTGCAATTCAAGCTCTGTGCCTTTTGTGTTGACACTGTACCTATGTACAAAAAGACAGGCTTTCATCATGATGCCAGAACAGTTGATTTGTCTCTAGGATCTCCCTTGTAAATACCACTGCTTCCAATCCTGATACTATTAACTTCATCCTGGTTTTAAAACTAAAACAAGTACCAATCCTTTTATATTATAAATAGAACTTAATTAATAGGCACAATCTGCATTCTTAGCAAGAGAGAGAGGGGGAGGAGAGAGACTAGGGATTGTTCTCTTTCTCTGCATTTGAAAAGGTTTTAAAACAAAGTTTTATTCTGTGAGGTCTTTGGTGCTCTTTGAGCTTGGTTGTTTTCTTGCAGACAATTCATAACCAAACTATATAATATCATCAATGCTAGTAGGGGAGTAGGATTTGCTCTCATTTTATATACTAGAGGTTTCCCCTTCAGTGTTGGTATAAATGTTCTTGGTTGTTACTTGATTAGGCTGTTGTTTACTGTTAGCTTGCTTGTCTGAGTTGGTAGTTCCTTGACTGGGGTATTGTTTACTTGATTGTTGGACTAGAATTAATCTTGATGTTAATTTCTGCTCATCCAGGTGTTGATTGCTGATGAGGTGGTATTTGGGTCTTTTTGTTTCCTTTTTGGCTTTTTGATTGTCTCTTTTGAATGGTATGTAGATGTTGTTTATTTCTATATTCCTGTTCATGGCCGATTTGTCAAGAATGCCAGGCTTCCAGAAATTCTGTAGTATTTTTGGATTTGGCTTGGTCTAGGGTGCTCACAGTTTCCCAGGTGAAACTATGGTTATATGTGTCCGTGCATTGTGAAATTAAGGAGTTTTCATCATGTCTTCTGATTATTCGTTGGTGTTCATAGATGCATTCTGCTAATCTTCTGCCTGTTTGTCCTACATAGTGGCTGTTACAATTCTTACACTGTATGTAATAGTAAGATGACTCCTGTTTTTTTCTTCTGGGGCTGCTGGGTCTTTTGGTTTACTTAGGATGTTTTGGGCACCTTTATTTGGATTGTGTGCTACGGTGCGGTGAATATATGATTTTCAGTTTTATTTATTTATTTATCAGCTCCTTACTTGCTTATTATATTCCCAGGTTTATTCACTGCCATTTACCAAGATTTTCATGCAAACATGGAATGTTTCCAAACCTGTATGTGATGCCCTGGAAACAAGATATGAAGTACCGAGCATTACATTTGCAGGTAGGAATCAGGGGAAACAATTGGGTTTTTTTATACAAAGCAGGGGCCTCCTTTAAAAAATGCAATTGTTTTTTTTTATTCTGTTCCAATCGTGTCTGATTCTCAGAAATTGCCTGGATAAATTCCTGCAGTTTTCTTGGTGAGGTTTTTCAAAAGAGGTTTGTCATTGCCTCCTTGTTAGAGCTGAGAGAAAGTGACTGGCTCAAGGTCATTCAGCTGACTTTGTGCCTATGGTGGGACTAGAATTCACAGCCTCTGAGATTCTAGCCTAATGCCTTAACCATTACACCAAACTGGCTCTCAATAAATACTTATAAAGTCACTATTGAATCCTATCAAATTTAATAGCTCATTCTTTCTTCTATTAAAGAGGAAGAAAATCATGCTCAATCTGGTGTCCAAGGCAAATTTGTCTCTTTACCCATGTTTGCCCAGACATCCTTAATGAAAAATATATGTATGTATGTATACTTTGATTTAGTGAGATACTACTTTGAGTACTTAACAAGCATCACATTTTAAGGAGAATTCAGAAAATTCTGAAGTGGTTGAGGGAAGTACAACAGTGATTAATTTGGGACTAGAATGTATTTGGTGTAGTGATTAAGGCATCAGGCTAAAAACTGGGAAACCATGAGTTCTACTCCCATCTTAGGCACAAAGCCAGCTGGGTGGCCCTGGACCAGTTCATTCTCTCTCAGCCTTAGGAAAGAGGCAGTGGCAAACCAGTTCTGAAATTTTGCCAAGCAAACTAGAGACTGTCTAGGTAGTCAGTAGGAGTCAACACTGACTTGAAGTTACAACAACAAGAGGGAATGAAACAGCTGGATAGAATTAGACTGAGAAAAGGCAATTGAAGAAGGTTAAGACAGTACAGCATTCTGAATATCTGAAAGGATGTCCTATAGGAGAAATTCAAGACTATTTCCCATCATTCCCAAAGATATAGAATAAAGGACTGAAGATGTAGGAAGACAGGTTCTAGTTAAATGTTAGTGGGAGAAAACACTTTCAAAAAAATCAGTGATTAAGTCAACAGTCCAGGATCTATCTGGTTCGAGCAAACCGGTAGGGCTGGCGGCAGGAGATTCCGCCCACCCGTCAGGATCTCATTATGTCCCCTTTTTGACCCTCTGCACATGCGCAGAAGGGTCTATGCATGCACAGAAGAGGCGGGTGCTCACATTTCCGAACTGGTAGCAAAGGTAAGTGCATTTCACTGCTGAGTTAGATGGCCATCTGATTGGGATACATCAATACATCATTCCTATATAAGCAGGCAGTTGTACTCAAACATCTTTCCAGGTCTATGATTCCACCCAAAGAGATCACAGAGAAGGCATCTCCACTTCCAAAATTAATTAGGGCCATTTCATTTTATTTATATAAGAGGTTTCCTCTTCAAAGAATATAGAGCCATGGACATCAGTGATTTTTTTTAACAACGAATGGTCCATTGAAGTTTGACAATATAGAACAGGGATATTCATCAGAGGCATAATATGCTTCAAGGGAGCTTTTGAAATTAACACCTCTCAGATTACATCTCAAGAGTACATATTGCATTCTCAGATTAATCCACTGTAATTTTTCTCTGCTCATGTAATTATAATACTAATATTCAATTATGATTAGTAATGGTGGTATATTTTATGAGTTGGTCTCTGGTTTGTTATTCACCACCCAGAGACTCTCTTAACTGAAATGGTATTAAAAACAATGGAATTTACATGCATAAATATATAATAGGTAGCCTTTGATTTACCACTGTTTATTTAGTGACTATTCAAAGTTACAAGGCACTAAAAAAAGTGACTTATCGTCGTTTTTCATACTTACAACCATTACAGCATCTTCGTGGTTATGTGATCAAAATTCAGACTCTTGGCAACTGACTCGTATTTATGATGATTGCAGTATCCTGTGTCATATGATCCCCTTTTTTGACCTTCTGATAAGCAAAGTCAATGGGGAAGCCAGATTCACTTAACAACTCTGTTACTAACTTAACATCTGCAGTGATTCATTTAACACAGGGGTCTCCAAACTTGGCAACTTTAAGACTTGTGGACTTCAACTCCCAGAATTCCTCAGCCAACAAAGCTCCCAGAATTCTGGGAATTGAAGTCCATAAGTCTCAAAGTTGCCAAGTTTGGAGACCCCTGATTTAACAGCTGTGACAAGAAAGGTCTAAAATGGGGCACAACTCACTTAACAAATGTCTCACTTTAGCAACAATTGGGCTCAATTGTGGTTGTAACTCAATGGCTACCTAATAAATTAATATTGTTAATCATGTCACTATTGGAAGGCTCTTTCTGCATGGACATAAAACAATTGATTTCCCTTCATTAGCATGCTGACCAAGTTGAACTATATAGTGGACCCCGTGAAGACACCCTATTTCTGGAAAAAAGTGAGAGACATTGCCATGGGGAAGATCGAAAGAAAGTTATGCAGAAAGTTCCACATGAAGACATTATTGTGGATATTCCCATTTATTCTCACCTCTCCAGATACCACAAATCCATGGTGGCTTATGGCTTCAGGGTCAAACTCTGAGATTCTTATCTTCCATTGGGATTTCATCAGCTGTACATAAACAATGTTACAAGAAAAAAAAAGCATGTGTTTGCTTGGTCTTTTTTCTAATTAAGGTAATTCTGTGAAATATATTTTTAAACTAGGAACATAAGATTTGATCAGCTAGGAATAATTTACATGTCGTTTCAGATATTTGCATATTTTTTGTTTTTCTTTTAATGTTAAGGATCTGCATTAGACTGGACTCTATAATTCTTATATTGTTTGTCAATGTATTTTCTTGTTTGAACTATTTTTGTCTTTCAGTTTTTAATGTTTTAAATTCTTTAATTTACTCAGAAAACTTCAATTATGGGGAAAATAGAAGTGTTGGTTATAATGTAAGACTCTTTTTGTTATAGGGAAAATGTTCCTGAATTACATCAGAGGTATATCATTGAAAAGTACATAGGAAATGTAACCTTTAATGCCTGTTTAAAGTTAACAATTGTCTGGGGAATCCTTTTTTTGGTGCTAAAGAAGAGCTTCATTGGAAGGTGAATTTTGATTTCAGAGGAAGGATTTATGTAAGGAGAGCAAATTAGAATAGGCATGAAATTTAATTGTTGTTATGAAGAATATCATGATGTGTCTAATTTTCAAGTTCCCAGTCACAATATGATTTAATTTAATTTAGTTCATTTTATACCAGAGATAGGATTGTGGTTTCATTAGTAAGCCCCACTGACCCTTCAATTTTTCTCAATGAAACATTCAGGAGGGTTTTTTCCATTGCAAATGGCTCTCATTCTCTAACTAAAACTGAACATGATTCCTTTCAAGCAACATTCTCAGAGTTTCTTTTAGAATAAAACAGGGGTGAAATTCAGCAGGTTCTGACAGGTTCTGGAGAACCGGAAGCGGGAATTTTGAGTAGTTTGGAGAACCAGCAAATACCAATTCTGGCTGGCCCCAGAGTGGGGTGGGAATGGAGATTTTGCAATATCCTTCCCCAAGAGTGGGGTGGGAATGGAAATTTTGTAGTATCCTTCCCCAGCCACGCCCACCAAGCCACGCCCACAGAACCGGTAGGGAAAAAATTTGAATTTCACCCCTGGTATAAAAGGGTGGATTTATAAAAATTCTATCTGGGCTAATTGCCATTTAGAACTAATACACTCCCATTTACATTAAGGGGAATTAGGGGTGAAATGCTACCAGTTCACACCAGTTCAGGTGAACTGGTAGTAATAAAAGCTACCGGTTTGGGCGAACTGGTACTAAAAAAATGTTACTGATTCGTCCGAACTTGTATTTCCATCTATCAGCTATGCCGTGCGATTTATATAGGAAATCAAAATCACGCGGCACAGCTGTTCCCTCCCCTCGCTGTTCTACTTGCCTACTTAAGCCTCCAGTTTCAGAGTGGATTGTTTGGGGCTGTCAAGGTTTGTTTAGGAATGCTGAGAATAGGAATTACCACCAAATAAGCTAAGTCCACTTTATTGTAAAGCTACATTGACAGAACTTTGTTCTACAATTGCTCTACTCCTATTGCCATCTTGAGCACACACCCCCATATGGTGCTTGTATATTCAGACTGGATTCAAGCATTTATATTTTACTTCATACAGCCAGTACGTGCGGTCACATCAAAATCTACAAAATAGTGGACACAACTAGTGTGGCCCAAGCTCCACCTCTTTTATACATGTGTTTGTTTATTTATTTATTTATTTATTTATTTATTTATTTATTTATTTATTTATGTATGTATGTATGTATGTATGTATGTATGTATGTATGTATGTTGGCATCATACAGGCACAAACAAAAAAGGCAGGGCCTGGATCACCATGCCGTACCTGCTATCTTTCAGATTTTGATCCATAGCCACAATTGCAGACTGTGCTTTACACGGCTAGATGCCCACTTCTAAGGCATGAAGGTACTGACCATTAATCTTTACATTCTGTCAATATCTATTCAAAGAGAAAATATTTTCAAAATAAAATATAAAAATCTGAAAGTGCCATTAACAAACATGAATATTTTTGTTTTTCAACCCACGTCAACATTGTTTCTATAAGAAATAAAGGTAGACAAGCAATCACATTTAAAACTCTGACTTCTTATCTATGTAAACAAGCTGTAATTAAATTCACTATTAATCAGCACACTTTAAAGGCTATACATTTCTGAGAAGGATTTAAAACATTGGCACTTATTCTGTGGCTCATTAAGATGCATCTTTTCTTAATTAAAATACAATATTAATTTTATGAAATGTGATTGTCATATCCTTGCATATATCATTTGCTTCATTTGAATTCTATGCATATTTATAAGGCATGCAATCTAAATGATTTTAAAGGCCAACTTAATAAATTGCAAAATAGTATTTCTCAATGGATTCCAAATGAAAAATGCATGAGCAACACAATGGGAAAAAGTTTAGCAATGTTCCCTGCCTGTTTGGGAAAATATAAATCTTTTTGGCAATTAAACTTTTGGAGCTTGCCATGCCTGGCTACACAGGTGTCTTGAAAAGTACTACTTGGTTTGGATCAAAAACTCATCAAGGTTTTTTTTTTTTGTCCTAAAATTTATCACTGCTATAAAATAACAACATGTAAGACCTTAAGTTAAACTGAGATAGTAACCTTCGGTGGTTTAGAAGACTGTCCCTCGCTGTCTAAATCAATGCATACACACTTACTTCAGTTCCCTTCATTTCACTGTTCGTCCCTGTGGAATGTTGTTTGTGACTTCACAAGCACATGCTAACAACCAGAGACAGCTTTCAATGCAATTGTGAAGACTGGGAGAGAAATGGCTGCTTTTGTGCTTCAAAGAGGGCTGTTTCACTTATGCTTGTTTTGAAAAATGCTCCTTTAAAATACTTTGTCAAAACTTTAGTTCTTTGCTCAGCTGCAAACACATATATACAGAGATAGTATAGAATAGAATATAGAATAACAGAGTTGGAAGGGACCTTGGAGATCTTCTAGTCCAACCCCCTGCTTAGGCAGGAAACCCTACACCACTTCAGACAAATGGTTATCCAACATCTTCTTAAAAATTTCCAGTGTTGGAGCATTCATAACTTCTGAAGGCAAGTTGTTCCACTGATTAATTGTTCTGTCAGGAAGTTTCTCCTTAGTTCTAAGTTGCTTCTCTCCTTGATTAGTTTCCACCCATTGCTTCTTGTTCACCCCCGCTTTGGAGAATAGTTTGAACCCTGAGATATTGGAACACTGCTATCATGTCTCCCCTAGTCCTTCTTTTCATTAAGCTAGACATACCCAATTCCTGCAACCATTCTTCATATGTTTTAGCCTCCAGTCCCCTAATCATCTTTGTTGCTCTTCACTGCATTAAAAAGGATTTAATACTGAAATTAAAAATAAAATACTTATTTCCTCCATGTGTACTAGTAATCAAATATTTACTTTTCCAACTGCCTAATTCATTTTCTGATAAAGACAAAATTAAATTATTATGCTAGACAAGGCTTTTTCATACTGAATCCCCTTTGAGTTTAGGATCAGATCCCAGGAATATTGTTAATACTAATTAAGTAATAAATGGGTGGAATAATGATAGCTCAGGTAACTCTTGTATTCATACTCTCCAGATCTCAAGAATAAACTAATGCAATGTGCAATGTACGCTCTTTGAACAAGATTTGGAAACTGCAATTGGTGCTGCATGCTACTACCTGCATGCTGGCAAGTCAGATCCATTGCATTGCATCAGCTTTCAACAAGATTCAGAATACACTTCAAAGTTGTTTTTGAACAACTTTGTACAGTTGTTTTTTTACTTTTGAAATTCTACATCGCATGGCTTGTGGGTACTTAAATGGTTGCTTTTCTAGGCACAACCAATCCATCTGCTACACATTTTCCTCCTGGAGATTTTAAACACCTCAATACATCCTATAGATGTTTAGAGCAAGCCAAAAATCTGATCTTGCTTTGTTGGAAAGAATCTACTACAGGTGTCACTTGACTAACAACAGTTTGTTTAGTGACTGCTCAAAGTTACACTGGCACTGAAAAGCAACATGACTATTGTTCACACTTATGACGGTTGCAGCATCCCCATGGTCAATGATCAAGGTCTGGATGCTTGGCAACTGGTTCATATTTATGACGTTTGCAGTGTCCTGGGGTCGTGTGATCAGCTTTTTCAACTTTCTGACAAGCAAAGTCATTGGGGAAGATGGATTCACTTAAGAACCGTGTGACTAACTTAACAATTGAAGTGATTCACTTAACTGAGGAAAGAAAGGTCGTAAGATGGGGAAAAGCTCAGTTAACAAATGTCTCACTTAACAACATACATTTTGAGCTCAATTGTGGTCGTAAATCAAGGACTACCCGTACAATACTCACAGCTTTTTAAAAACTGACCTGAAGATATGTGCTTAGCTCTAGCCTTTGAACAGGATCTTTATTAAGTTCAGGGGAAAAATTGGTCGTTATGATTTTGTATGGGCAAGGCTTAATTCGTAATTTTGTTTTTATTTTGTTGCTTTTTCAAAATGTAGTTTTATACTTTATACTTTTAATTTTGTTTTGTCTGTTTGTACATTACAATAATAAAATTAAAAAATACAATTAAGAAATGGCTAGCTCATGAGACTTAAGATGCCAATTAGATTTTTAAATGTTCTTTGACCCATCTAATAAGATGGTAGGGATTTCATTTTAAAAATATACAGCTCCTAACATTTGCAGATGAAGATACTCATGAAGATGTTGCCTATTCAAAAAGTAATAATCTACCCATTGACTACCAATTTAAAAAGTGGAATGATTGTTACATTAAAAAAGAATGGAAGAAAAAAGGAACAAAAGCAAAATTGTATATTTGAGCAATTGGCATTAGTTCACTGAGATTGCACACTATCTGTGACTTTAATTTATTGCAGGAAAAAAGGATAGACATGAGTTGGCATGTTCCTTCTCCTTCCACTAAGTGTCACTCTAATACTTGGGAAAATATTGTTGTAAAGAATTTAGATTTAAATAATCCTTTTCCTTGGTGATACCATATTCCTTTAAAGGATGAGAATTGTTGTTTTATATAAATTGATTACAATTGGTAATCTTGTAAATGATACTGAAACCACTATTTATAACATTTATATGTCATAGTCTTTCAAAGCCATCATGCTTTACATGTGTTGCATAATAATATAATATCAAGCTAACCTAACTATATACTATGATGGGTGAGTTAATGGGATTGTAATTCATACACTTTGAGAGCACCTGGCTGAAGCAAGGGGACACTGATGTCTGAATTAAAATGGAAAACAGTGATTAAAGTATATATTTTAATGTACAATATCAGTATATCAATATAACTGCAATATTGTTAATACATGATTGTTTAAAAAAACAACACAATTTTAGTGAGGGGAGAATCTCACTTCCAGAAAAACTGGGAATCAAACCAATGTACAGGTCACTGATGATGTTATTTAGTTTGGTAATGAAATGTCTGCAAAAAACCCATCACCAAGGACTCTACAGTTCAACTCTGAGCTACAAATATTATCTTCTATCATCACCCAAGTGACTCTGGGCAGTTTACAGATAAAAACCATTAAAAGCAACACAGTTTAAAGAAATGTTAAAAACTAAGTTAAAAAGAATTATAAAATTAAGAACCACCAACCACCCCTAGGTTGCATGCCACTCTTAGACCCCCATGCCAGCTGGCAAAGCCAGGTCTTGATGCTCTTCTGGAAGGCTAATAGAGTGTGGAGGGAAGCTCACCTCAGGGGTCAAAATGTTCCATAGGAACATGGCACAGACTCTGCCAGATAAAATTCTTTAAGCAATGAGGTCCATAACATGCCCTTCCTACCTGATGGGGTGGTATGGGTTGACATAATTGGGACAAGATGGTTCCTAAGATTGCCTGGGCCAATGCCATGAAGGCAGTGGTGGTATCCTACCGGTTTAACAACCAGTTCGCTGAGAGTGCACGTGTGCACACTTTGCAGAAAATTGAACTTCCACGTTGCTGAGAGCAAGGAAAAGAGCTGAGGAGCAGCAATCCACTCTGCCGCCCCGATCAGCTGGGCTTCAGAAGCAGAAATGTAGGTAAGTATAACACAGGGGCAGGCGGGTAGGCCCACTTCAAAGGAAGAGAGAACCGGTTCACTTACGGCTGAAAGTCGGAGCAAATGGTTCTCCCGAACCGGTAGAATCCCACCACTGCATGAATGGCTTTAAAAATCAAAGCCAACACTTTGAATTGGACATGGAAGCAAACTGGCATGCAATGCAGCTGACATAGCAGGGGTGTTATATGTACAACCCTACAGGTGCCCCAAATTGCTTTGCTGCTACATTCTGAATCAGCTGCAGGTTCCAGAAACTCTTTAAAGGTAGCCCCATAAGATTGCATTGCAGTAGTCTATATCCAAGTTGACCAGAGCATGAGAGGCAAACACAGGGCCTTTAAATCCAGGAATGAGTTCAACTAGCACACAACACAAAGTTGAGCAAAGGCCTTCTACCATCATTGTTACCTATTCCTCAAACTGAAGTTGAGTCCAGTAGGAACCCAAGATATGGCACAGGGTCTGTCTGGGGCAGTGCATACTCGTTCAAGACCAAAGATAATAATATCAGATACAGAAGAGTTCCCTATCCACAGCTGAACCAGCACAAACTATGCTATGCCCTTCACCACCACCTCAGCTCTTGAAGCCAACCCAAAAGGATACCATGGTTGATGATATCAAAGGCTACTAGGAGACCAAGAAGAGCCAGGATGGATACCCTATCTCCATCTCACTTCACTAGGAGTCATCAAAAATAGACCAATGACATTTTTGTCCCATATCTATGCCTGAAATCTGATTGGAAAGGTTCCAGATAATCCATCTCATCCAGGATTCCCTATAGCTAAAATGTTAATACTTTCTCAGCCACTTTCCCTAAAAATTATTCAGACT